GGGAGGGAGGGAGGAAGGGATGGAGGGAGGGAGGGGAGGCATGCCGTGCTGCGCCCTCCCCTCCTGCCCGGGCTCTCCGGGGGATGGAGGGTTTGGGATGTCACTCGCTTGGCTCCTTCCCGCTCTCCCTCAGGCAGCCCTGGGCGCTGGTGGGGATCCTCGGAGGGGATCAGCTTTCCACAGCAGAGGATAAGCGGGAGTATCGCGGGCATGGAACAACGGGGTTCGCCGTGGCCCAAAGAGATTTCCTCACCTACGATGGCACCCGTTTTACTGTTACTGCTTTCAGCGGATGGATAAAAGGTTTAGTCCTTCCTGACAATTGCTTATCTTCTGTTGCTTTGCTCTAATTTTTTTCTAACTAACTGCTGCGAATCTGAACAGTGCGATGCTAATAATACCGTAGACTTTTGCTCACGTGCAGTGACCAAGCCAACAGCAGTACTCTTGCAAAGTAGTGTTTTAGCTGCCTACAAAGAGATGACGCTGACATATTTAATGGCTAGAGCACTTCTATCACACACAGCATTGTCTAGATAAAAATTAAATTGCTATGCTCTTTGGCTAATTGCATGATTCTGTCGTGTGCAACTGTAAAAATAATTGATTGCTTCCTTCTTCAAGGGGTGCCTCATAATGGATTTAAAGTGGAAGTGTCCAAAGGAATAATTCTTCATTTGGTGGATGAGGTTACAAGTTGGTTACCTGGCGACCGGATCGTCATTGCCAGTACAGATTATTCTATGCATCAGGCTGAAGAGTTTAATCTCCTTCCTTGCCCTGAATGTAAAAGTAATCAAGTGAAAATTGATGGTATGAAGTATTTTTAGCAAGCTACTCATTTGTGGTAAATATTTACATTGTCTTGTCTTTAACATTCTACATTTACATTTCCTTGTCTCTTTAGCTAGTTTTTGTTCCGTAAACACATGGGCACTTGTCATATGAAAGCTGAAGGCCCCAATATTGGAACTTAAAGTTTGACCAGGGGCATCAGTCCCTTGTAGAAGTCAGGGGAAGTGCTGATCTCCTCTGGGAACAAATACGAACAACTGGACTCGTCCCCAAACTTGGTGATTGCTTAAATGAAAGGCATACACTTGCTTAGAGCAGTGCGATAATGAAGAAAGATGCTGTGCTCACCCTGAATGAAAAGGTTTCTGATTTTCACAGGCAGCCCACTTTATCTTCACATTGGAGAAGTCATTGATGGCATCGATATGAGGGCAGAGGTTGGTCTTCTGACTAGAAATATACTTATTCAAGGAGAAATGGAAGACTCCTGTTATGGACAAAATCAATGTCAGTTTTTCTCCTTTGACACATTTGGAGGACATATTAAAGTGAGTAATTCTTAATGCCTCTGCCTGTAGGTAGTTTCAGGTCGTTCCTTTCCTGGTTTGTAAACAATACAATGCATGAAAGTACTGTTGTATCTGGGGAAAAAACATACTTGTCTATGAAGAAGGGAAAAGTTTGTTGGCCTCTTTTGCAAAATTAGACTTGTAACGTGGCAGTGCCATTTTCTTCACTGCATATGCAAAAACATACCCTTCTCTGGGCTAGAGGGGATTCTTCAGTGGCATTGCTGTCAGTCGGGTCAGTGTGAAGTTACATAGTTCACGAGATGTCACTGAAGAAATCGTGCTTCTTGTAGAGCAAACCTGCTCCCTGCATGGCTCAGAGAAGTGCTGGGTCTCACCCTATTGTGCTTTGCCTCCTCTTGGTTGTCCCATGTGTTCTTGGCGGAGGTGCAAATTCTTGCTGTTGCAGGGCCTTTGTGTAAAATTACTCCACCACCAGTTGGTGGAAATCGAGGAGCTGTGCAGGTCTTGCCTAAAGTCTTGACAGAGATAAAGTTGCCAGGAAATAGAGCCTGGTGGTAGATGCTGCCCCGTTCTGGAGCTGGCAGGAGTACCTTGTCCGTAGCCGTGTCACACACTGCTACTGCTAAATCCCGCGCAGGGTGTTTGGCAGCTGTTCCGTGGCAGCCCCGCGCCCGTAGGTGTGCGGCCGCTGGCACGCTGCTCTGCAGGTGCTGCGCTGCTGTGAGTCAGAGCAGGGAGCTGGCACCTCCTTCTGCGATCAGGCCCTGTTTTACTCGGCAAACATATTGCCTAATAAGAAGAAAAAAAAAAAATGTTTTCCTTTTTGCGCGGGTTTATGTTGTAATGCCTTACTTGGATCTACATTTGTCTCAACAGATCCTAAGGAATTTTAGCTCTGTTCACATGTCAGGAGTGGAATTAAAAAACATGGGGCAGCAAATCCTGGGCAGTTATCCTGTGCATTTTCACTTGGCTGAGGATGTGGATGAGAGAGGAGGATATGAACGCCCAACGTACCTTGATAACCTGGCTATCCACCACTGCTTCTCTAGGTGTGTTGCCATACATGGAACTCATGGCCTGCTGGTAGGAGACATATTTTATTAGTATCAAGTTCATTTCTTTGTTTAGGCACCGCTAAACAGTAGGAGCCATTTGTGATACAAAGAGAAATCAGAGTATTGAAACAAGGCATTTTTTCCCCAAGAAGTGCCCTGACACGTCAACTTCATTTGACCGGTATTCAGGTTAGGACTGTTGCTCTGGTAGTGCAGCTCTTTGAAATGAATTTCAGGTTCGTAATTAATGTTGTTAATGGTGTGATCAGATATAGTGAAATCTTTGCCTGGTTATTCTGGACAGTTTGTGATAATAGGAACTTTCATTTAAAATGAAAGCAGTGGACCTTTACTGGACCTGACTGAAGCAATGGACCTTTAATTTGCAAAGGAGATAAAAAAGACAGGGGTTGTTCCAGTCAGGGCAATGTGAAATATATCCGAAAATATTCTCATGACAAAGGGAATGAAATAGGAGAGGGACAGACCCAAACGGCTGCTTCAGTGCCAGAAAAGCCCTCAGGAACTTGGCTTTGACCTAGATCCTCACAAGGGCATTGTGGAGAGGAACTTAAAAAAAAAAAAACCACAAAAAAGCCATACGTGTCCCAGCTGGAGAATACAGATTCCTGCTCCAGTCCCGACACGTCCAGTTGCTGTGTGCTCTGCAGGACGCTGAACAGTGTTTTGGTATCCGTGGGCATTGCCTCATTCACCTGATGTGTGCTCAGGCAGAGACACTCCCTGAACTATCCACGACTGCCCGCGTTTTTCCTCACTTTTTCTTAACCCGGGACATAAAGCTGTGTAAGACATGGCATAGATGATGATACACTCTGGAGGGACCCCTGTGTGAAAGGGTCCCCCCCGAAATGGTGTATTCACAAAAATGCGATGCTAGACTTGTACAACCGGGAGCACTTTTCACGTATCCTAAACTGGATTGGCATTGTCCAGATCACTGAAAATATTGCTTGCCTTCTCAGATACGTGATTTGCTCCGGCTGTAGAGCCTGATTTTGTGTACAGAGCCCTTCTTAGGAGGCAGGAGACTTGCCCAGTATGTGTGGGTATGGTTTAACTTCCTTTCTCTTCTCGTTGGTATTAAACCTCTGGAATTGAAGGAACCTGCCTGGGATGAAAAATTAAGCCTTGTGTTAATGTTGGTCCTGAGAAGATTGGTATATGCTCTTGCTCTTTATCAGAAGTGAGGCTGTTAATGGTTTATTTGGATGTGTGGGATGCAATAGTTGTGAAATCAAGGATCCAAGTGTGAGCTCCAGCCCCCCTGCATCTGACTGCTGAGAGCTTTGAGTCCATGAATCAGTGAAGAGATTTTATAGCAAAGGTTAACTATGTGATTCTGTGGAAGAATTGTGTGATTTCAATACAGTCATTAAGATAAAGAGTAATTAAAATGTAATAAAAAGCCTTGCTTTAAAATAAAATGATTTGCAGTTCCAGAGAAGAGCGTGTATATCAGAGCAAAGCAGTTAAATAACATAGATGGGTAGCTGTTTTAGCATCAGATTATGAAACTTCAGCCCTTGAGGCAGAATAAACCAGACAGGTGGTTTTTCCCTCTCCTGTTTTGAGCGTTTAGAGGATGTAATTGTAGAAGTACGTTGCTGGAGTGCTGTGGTTTGTGCTTTGCTGTGTCCTGGCCACGCAGCGCTGTCTGCAAGGCCCTTCTCCCATCTGCTGCTCCCGTGTGCCAGGCTTGCGCCGCTTTGCAAGCCGGCAGCAGCGGTGCACACAGCTTGGGTTACTCCCCGTGGCTGGGACGCAGGCTGCAACATGCCTCTTGCTGCCCTGGCACACGTCAGGCGTACACAGACTACTGTAGTCTTTCGTGTCTAATGTGTCAGTGCATAAAGGTCACTTATATTGTGTTGCTGAACTATATATAATTCAGTGTTTAGAGGCATCTTAATCATCTGGTGTTGGACGCACCAGTGGGGCTGTAGCCTGCGTTGTGGACGATGTTTCATGCTGACACATACAGTAATATGCTCCCGTCACAGTGCCGCAGGTGGGCTCTCATTTCCAAGATTTTAGTTTCTATCATCTGTGATATGCCAGAATTGATCAGTTATTGGGATTCTGAGCTAATGGCCTGCACCCTTATCTTTCAGTGCAGATGTAAGTGATCCTTGAATTATGTTATTTCTGGTTAGGAGAGTGATCAATATAGTGTCGTGTATGTAAGTTTTCAGGGCTGCTATGCCATTCAGAAGCCGTGACTAATAATATTAATTAAAGCTAAAATCTGGTTTTGGATAGAAAGCTGGTTTTTAATGCAGCTGTCTGACGTACAGGTTAGCCAAACTTCAGCTAAATTCAGAAGAATGAAACTCTACAATTGAAATGCTGTTTAAAAGAGCAAGCAGTTTGTTGTTACAGTTTCTTTCCAAAAATAGTCTTCCATGGCCTCCTTAGCACAGCTTTTGCCCATCATTTGGAAGGGCAGAAGTAGCCAGGCTTACTGTTCTTAGCTGTTTGGCAATGACACTTGCATTTTTACCTAAATCCATTTCCTATCTGTATTTCCAAGACTCAGCTGGCAGGGACACGTTCCGTGTTGCTGCACGTAGGTTCTCTGTTGCCCTCCTTGTAGCTCACTCGGAGCCACGTACCCGCATGCAGGGTTTCGGTGGATTTCCAAAACTGTATCAGGTAGGAGTTGGGTACCTGGTAGTGTTGTGCCTTATTTTTAACTCTCTCTCAAGCACCTCGTTAGGGCAGAAACAAGAGCAGCAGATGACAAGTTTGAGGGGTGACTGCCAGGAAAACAATGAAATCCAGTAGAGATATACCTATGGGGACTATACTGTTTGTGACTCCAGATGTTATGTACAGTTGCAGCCCATTAAGGGGAAATCACAGGATATGAGTCTGAAATGGATTTAGTTCAAGTATCCCTCCGTATACAGAAATAACCAAGTAGGTTAATATTAGTTAATCTCGCAGTCTTACACAGCCATAACTCTGACGTCAACAGGAATCTTGTATGCCTGAAGAGTGAATAAATATGCTGACAGGGATCATTTGAGTACAGAGTTAAAGTTTCAGTAAGATTTAGTAACAAATAGCTGGTGTTTTAACTAGCCTGATTTAGTATTTACATTTAAAAGAAGGATTTCTGAATTTATCTTCATAAGACTGTACATCAAAGGAGGCTTGTGCTAAGTCCTCTTGGTCAAATTAGGGTTTAATGCAATATCCCTGTGCATGCCAGTTAGTATTAAATAGATGGAAATAGTAAAATGCCATCGCTGCCCAAGCTGATCATTACAGGAATAAAGTGGCCCTGCACCTTCTGAGAGTGGAGGAGAAAGAACAGAAACCTCGTTAATATAAATTACTTCACATGGTGCATTTTAAGGAATTTCTTATTTTATTTGGGAAATGTTGCAGTCATGAAAATTTCTGGATTAACCGTCCTAACTTGTTGGTTTATCATGCAAGATACACTTATCCCTACGCAAACATTTACTCCATGACAGTGAATCAAGTATTCTCTCTTAGAGCTGAGGGCAGTTTTAAATCCAGTATTTTGCAATTTTCCTTTAATTATGCCTGTGATCTTCCTCAGAGTAATTTTAATAGCAGTTTCACTGTATAAGAAGATCAGTCTACAGTAGTTTGAGTTAGCTCCGGGAGTGATGCCTATGGAGGCACTGCTTGCTGTGCAGAGGGGTGGCAAAACCACTCTGTGAGTGTTGCAGGAATTTATTGATAAGCAAAGCACATCAGTTATAGTTCCTACTGCTGTTAGCATTGCGATCGATGGCTTGTATACTTTTTTGCAGGTAAAAGACACCATTGGCTATGACACTCTGGGGCACTGTTTCTTCCTCGAAGACGGGACGGAACAACGCAATACATTTTATCACAACTTGGGCCTCCTCACGAGGTCGGGGACAATCTTGCCTTCGGATCGCAATGAGGCTATGTGCCTTGCCATCCGCAGCCGCGTCTATGGGAATTACGTTCCTGTGCCGAGCACCGACTGCATGTAAGTGCTCCGGGAGCTGTCATCAGGCTTTGCACTTACATTGTGCTTTATAGCTGGGTCCCAAAAAATGCCGTGGTGAAACTTTTGAAAGATGCTATTTGATATTAAATGAAAAATTGTAGCTTTTCCTACCATTTCTCATTTTAAAATAATTTAGCTACTTGAGCATGTTTTGCTTGTGAGGAGACCTGTTAACACCTGCATGAATCCTAATCAAGGAATATTTGCTGCTGGTTATTCCTGTCGCTGTTTCCTGAGAATCATAACTATGTTAGAGTACTTTGCTTGTTTCTGAACCCCTTTCAATTCTTTTTTAAGTAGGATGTTAAGTAGGATGTTATTAAGAAGGCTCCATGAAATCTGTCTGATAAATGCAAGTTGCTTCAGCCCTGGTATAGGCTAGCAAAAATATCACTTACTACAAAGGGAGTTTTTGCCTTCTTTCACCAGGGCTGAATTGGGGCTGGAGCATCCAGAGTAAATTGATCAATAGTACATGAATATCTGGAGTACATCAGGAGATGTAGTGAAAATGCAGAGATTAGCATAAACTACAGTGAGCATCATTTAACAATCAACAATATTGCAATATAGCTGACCAAAGTTAGCTTCTATTTTGGAGACTGATGAGCTGTAACACGGGCACTCGGGGACCCAGGTATTGGTCTGGCTAGTGTTTGCAAGGAAGACCACAGTTTAGCCAAGGAAATTTTTATTTTCATGTTTTCTGGAAAAGGATGCAGTGGCCAAACTCTACTTATTTTAATTTGCATAAATAACTGAATTAATTACAGTTATTGTTGCTGAAATGCTAAGTTTGCTTGCATGGTTAATATAGATTTATTTTGCACCTATTCAGTGGTTCTGTTAATCCAAAGGACTGTGGATTCTTGATTATGTAATAGTTAAGGTGGATAAAAAATGCCTGAGGTTTTCTGCTTAGAATGATCAAATTAATTGGTATGGTCATGAGAAAAGGTTTACAGTGTTTTTACGTGTGGTCTTTATTACTGCAAAATATGTTATCAAATGAAGTAAGACAACAGAGGACAATATTTTCATAGCTATATCTGGCTTCTGTTTGTGCCACTGCTGATCTTCCCTCTGAAGCAAAAACTCCTTATTTGAACAAATGTCAAAATAATATCTCCTTAATCTCCTCCTTACCAAGCCATTTGCAGCTTGCAAGGACGTTTGTTTTGTTTTCCACATAGAAGCTTCATAAATCCATAGAGAATCCCCTACCTCCTGCCATTGCCCCCCAAGTTCCAAAAAACAAACCAGAAGGTCACTTTTCAGACATTTCCCAAAGCTGCTTAACTTAAAAAGAAAAAAAAAAAAAAAAAGACATTGGGTTTCCTTAAGCTGCATTTAACAGAGCATGGATTTTGTGTTAACGGTCTCATATAATTTACAATAGGTTCAGCATGTGGCTCCATAAATGAATATGTCTGACATTACTAGATGGTTTCTTTTCCTTAAAGAGTATCATTAAAAGGTTGTGTGGAGTTTTTAAAGTCAATAGGAGAGTTGTGGCTCGAGTCCAGTGCAGTGCTATGAAAATGTATCCTTTCCTGTTTGGTAACTGCTTAGCATCATTTTCATTTTGATTTTTCAGGGCTGTCAGCACATTCTGGATTGCAAATCCAAACAACAACTTAATAGAGAATGCAGCAGCTGGTGCTCAGGTAAAATCATTTAACGCCAAGAGCTATGCTTTGCCTCCAGTTCCCATATATTCTACTCTTATTGATGTCATTAGCGTGAGGGCTATGAATTTTTAGTAAGCCATCGTAAAATTTGGGTATTATTTCTGCAACCTTTGTCTCTGTTAAGAACAAGTATTTGCCTACAGTTGTCACACTGATTTCTCTCACAACTGTGGCTGGAAATGGTGTGTAGTGTCTCTTAGCAAATATTGATTTTTATTAGTAGTCAAAAGTTAAATGCCCAATAAAATTTTATGTTTGTATATATAAATGTATACTCTCTCCTTGTTATTATCTCTGATGTTTGTGTTTAATGTGCCTGTACAGAGAAGGCTGTGTTTTCTAATAAACCACCTGAATTTCACCCACAATATATGCATTTTTAAAAACCACGTGTGTGTGCGCCGGCAGCCCACTGTCCATGCCAAAGGATAAGTTGGGAGATGTAGGAGCATGGGGTAGTGTGTGTCCCCTGGGACTCACACAGGTTTGGCAGGCTAAGGTTAGAAATCTGGTCAGCATAGTGGGAAACCCTAAGTCCCCAGGATAACCTGTAGCATTACTTGTAGTGTCCCATTTCTCAGACCTCCCTTTGTCTTTCAGGATGTTGGGATATGGTACATCTTCCACCGGGTTCCAACTGGACAGTCTGAGGGGCAATATCCAGAGGGACAGGCTGAACATACCCCCTTGGGAATATTTTACAACAACAGAGTCCACTCCAATTTCAAGGCATGTGGATGATTTTTGTATGTTAGTATCAATAAAATAGTATGGCGTAGGGCTGACCATGTGTGATGCTCTGAAATCAGATGATCATGGGTGTCTTACCTTTTAATAGTGGTGTTTTAACACTATATCAAGAGACAATCAACTTTTTGGGATGATGCTCTTTCTAATGATCAAAGAGGGAGCTGAGCAGAATGGGGGTCCCATTTCAGGTGCTTCAGTTGGGTGCCTGTGTTAGAGGGGATGTGCCCAGGCCATAGGTACACCTACTACTAAGTGAGATTTAAGGATGACAGGCAGGACACTGAGCACTGCTGTTGGCCATAGTGGTGCAAGGACATAGGGGGATGAGCAAAAGTTGTTTGTGCCAGGGCCTGCTCATCACCTTTGAAAAATGAGACCAAAAATTCAAGGGTAGTTCCAAGAAAAACACTTCCCCCCAAATATACTGTTGACATGAAAATGTAACCTGTAAGCTGTAAAAAGCATTTTTAACTTATTTCTCAGGATTCTAGATTGAAATCAGTGCTGTTCTCTGGGCCTTGTATATTTTACATCTTGGTCCATGACAGCTGGTGCTCTAGCCCAAAGTCTTTAACTTAGCTACAGCGGCTCATGTTCTCTTTTGACTGTCGGGGGACTCATCACTCTTTATTTAAAGGCTTACTTCTTAACAACGCTCTTTTTCCAAAAAGTTACCAAGAGCTTGGCAGAGTCCCTTATTGCTTTCTGCAAGGCAGAGAGAGTGGGAGTTCAGTGCCTTGCTTTGGGTCAGAAGGCAGCCCAAGATGCTGATGCATAACACATGGCAAGGCAGACTCTGTCCTGACTTCAGCGTGCTACATCCTGTGCTAATGTCATGCTGAGCAGTGCCAAGTGACACCAAAAGGGAAGAGAAAGCCCGGGCTGCAGCCACTCACTGTGCCTGCACGGACTGGCTGCCTACATTCATTGATAAAAATCTGGGATCTGTGGTCTCTGTGGGGCAGTCTGTTAAAATAATTGGAGTCGTGTGCATTTTCAGGCTGGTTTGTTTATTGGAAAAGGAGTAAAGACAACGAGAGCCAGCGCTGAAGATCCCAGAGAATATCTCACTGTCGATAATGCCAGGTACGCACGTGGTGTATGGCTAAGTATTTTGGATAGTTGTATTGCTGCTTGGCTTCTGCATTGTATTTAGCAGATCATTAATGCCTCATTATGGCTGGAGCATCTGAAAAACCACACAAGCTCTCTCTGATGTGCAGAGGCAAATACTTCATAGCTATGCACTGAATTGTTTGTGTTATTGCTGACCAAAAATGATACACGTGCACTTGGGGTTATGAGGACTAAGCAGTGAAGCAAGTGAAAGGGGGTATTCCATTTGTGGGTTTGTAAACTCCAGCATTTCTTATTAATTGCTTAAAAGCACTTACATCTGAAAGATTATGTAAGAGACTGCTGAGACTGGTCTAGGGTTAATGAGGAGAATAAAGTAGCCTCAAAGCTTTTTGTCAGCTTCTTTAAAATCTCTGAGCTTCCTTTTGCAGAGTGGAAGCAGGTAAATTAAGGCCATTTTCTCACTCACTGCAGCCCTATGGGTCTGTGTGAGGAGGATGTGGCAGAAATCAGCCACTGCTACTGGTCAAGCCTTGGCTTGACCATCATACCCTCTCAATGCTCCCGTATGGCTGAAAGGAAAGGGTGACTTTGCCTCCCTTTGTGAGACGTCCTTCCCTGGGCCAGCCCTTGGGCACTGAGGTGGTGCGTCCCTTGGGACATCAGCTGGAAGAAGTAGGAGGTGAGGGTAGACTCAGAAAAAGCAATGGTGATTTTTTTTCCAAACACGACTCAAGTCTACCATTAACAGCCAAGGTAGTAAGAAATAGCCTGGAAGTAATTGAGAAATGCCCGATTCCCAGGGCGAATCCTTTTTTCATATGACAGCTTGTCTTTCAGCAGAGACAGAAGCATATGGAGGTCTGGTCTGTACATGCAAGGAAAGCAGCTCCAATTACTCCGTTATCTTTGCTGAATGAGATTCTTGAAAGTGCCTAATTGATTTTCTAGCATCAATCCAGGGATTCTCAATGGGCCTTGTAAGGACAATTACAAAAGGACCTAAGTGACTTGGGAAAAATGTTTTCTATGCCTCTAAATTACACTGAATCAAATTAAGGAGTAACTATGGGCCCATTGAAGTCTAGCGAGAAATCTCCCGTTGATTTCACTGGGGCCAGAATTTCACTCTTATGAATGTTTCTTGTTTTCTGCTTTGTACTGAAGCACAGAGATGAAATCAAGCTAATAGCCTGACTCTGATCCAGGACGTAGCACCTCTTTAGGCCCATCACACTGATATTTGGAAGCCAAACGAGGTCTGCCAGGCACGACCTTCTCTGCCTGAGGTCGGTTCCTATGTCTCCTGTGCCACATTAACTAAGCTTCTTGCTTCAGGTTTCACCCACATCAAGATGCTGATCCTGAAAAGCCGCGAGTTCCTGCCGTCATTGATGGTCTTATTGCTTTTAAAAATAATGACCATGGGGCCTGGGCCAGGGGCGGCGACATTATTTTCCGCAACTCGGGGTAGGTTACTGTAATTACGTGTTATATCATTCCCCTCGCAGCAGACATAAATAGGTCTGTAGGCCAAATTCACTGCAGACATTCCTCCTCATTTACACCGTTGTGTTTCTTCTGTCCCAGGTTTTCAGACAATGGAATTGGACTCACTCTAGCAAGGTAATTTCTTAAAATTGACCATCTTCCAGTTTTTTCCCCCAATGTAAGAGACTCAAGAATGGAAGCTGAGACACTCCCGTGGTAATTCCTGTAAGACACAAGAAAACCTCACGTTTCCCTCCCAGACCACATCAAGTCTTCCCTGCACAGCCATTAATACAAAGGGCAATTTAGCCTTTCATTCTCTTTGCCTCAGCATGTCTGGGGAATACATCATAATTGCTGAATATTTCCTTTTGGACGGTAGGTCCTGAACCAGTAGACTAAACATCTGGCTCTGCATTTGGGAAGACTTTTCTTCTGCTCTAACCCGGTAGAGCAGCATCGCCCATAGCTCGTGTGCTGCCGGGGCAGGGTGGCTGGGATGGTCCCATGTGGCATAGCAGGTCTCCTGCCTCCTCTGCCGGTATCTACCGTGCTCCTGCTGCTCACGTCTTGTCCCCTCTTGCAAAAGACCCACAAAAATAAGCCATATTCAAAGCCCACTGCAGGCAATGGGAATCAGTGAAGCTCTCGCTTTAGGTATGTAGGTAAAAATTTATAAAGCAACTCGGTATAGAGCAATTATACATATATATATACACATATATATAGGGTAGAGCTGGTTTTACCCAGAGTAAGTTACCTGTGTTACTGATGCCCGAGCACTAAGCTACCTCCGCAATAACTTGCTGGTTTCTAAAGAGATTTTAAAGCAGGCTGTTATATCAGTGGATCCACTTTTTCCCAAATTAGGGAAGAAATTCTACTGTGTCTGTGGTGTAATTAGAAGTGTTAATTAATCAGTTGTGGTGTGCTGCATAGTTACCTGGTGTTTCTTTGCCTGCTTGTAGTGATGGGACGTTCCCAACAGACGAAGGCTCCAGCCTGGAGGTTACACACTCCATTTTTGTTGGAGAAAGCAGCAACTTTGGCTCCCAGGGAGGTCAAAACAGCTACTGGGGAAAAGGGGCAAATGGAGAATACAGAACGCTGCCCAGAAACAAGTGAGTTATTCTTCGGCCATTTCTTCTTGGCGTTAGCATAAGCTAGAAGAAAAGCCTCAGGAATGAATGTGACTATCAATGAGTAATTTACACCAGGTGTTGAAATTATTGTACAGGCCAGAAATAATAAGCATCCAAATAAAATCATTCTTCAGGCCAGCAGCTTGAGAATGTTCTTGACTGAATGTGTTTGATTTGATTTTCTGCTTAATTTATTAGTCGCTGGAGAATGGATTAGAGAATCTGAAAGATACCAAGTGGCTTTTGTGTAGTGCTTCAGTAGCGCAGCGCTGAGCTGATGGCACAGCTCCTGTCCACCGTGTCACCATCCCTCCTGCCAGCGTAGCTGGGCAAACATGTCTGGTTTGACAAAGGAGAAACCGTTTTTCATTATTACATCTTATTTCTCTTTCAATACCTGTATGCTATTTTCTATTTTGATAGCAGCATAGCCGCCTGTTTAGCAACTGCGGTGCCTGCCCACATCCCCATAGCAAGGTGTGCTTCCCCAAGCCTAAATTCTACCCTAATGTATGTTTTTGGTGATGCTCACCAATCATTAATCCCTCTATGAGGAATATAAAATTAAGGAATAAACAGTACTCAGCAGACATGCCATGCACACAACTCTGACTATACATGTCTCAGCCATAAGTGACACAGGAATGGGATCTGTGTAGGACAG